GCCAAATGTGCAAAATTACAAGAGATCCACACCAAGACAAGAAGATGCCCAACATACAAAATAAGGAGAGAATTTTAAAAGTCACAAGAGAAAGGAAGCAGATTACATTTAGGGGTAAACCAATCAGGTTAATGGCTGATCTTTCAACACAGACTCTGAAAGCTAGAAGATCCTGGAACAACATATTTCAAACACTGAAAGATATTGGGTTCCAACCAAGAATCTTGTATCCAGCAAAATTAAGCTTCAGGATTGAAGATGAAATAAAAATCTTCCACAATAAACAAAAGTTAAAAGAATTTGCAGCTAGAAAACCAGCACTTCAAAACATCTTTGGAAAAACATTACATGAAGAGGAAATGAGAAATAATAATGAAAATCAACAGTGGGAGGTAGTACAGTAAAGGAAAAACTAATCAAAGAGGAAAAACAAATCATGTTAAATAACAAAAATAAACAAATATGGCTGGAAGTACAAACCATATCTAAATAGTAACCCTAAATGTTAATGGCTTAAACTCACCAATCAAAAGACATAGGCTAGTAAACTGGATTAAAAAAAAATATCCAACAATATGCTGCCTACAGGAGACTCATCTGATAGGAAAAGACATACACAGACTGAAGGTGAAAGGTTGGGAAAAATCATACCACTCACACGGACCTTGGAAGCAAGCAGGGGTGTCCATACTCATATCAAATAAAATAGACTTCAAGCCAAAGTTAATCAAAAGGGATAAAGAAGGACACTACATACTGCTCAAGGGAACCATACACCAACAAGACATAACAATCATTAATATATATGCCCCAAACAATGGTGTAGCTACATTCATCAAACAAACTCTTCTCAAGTTCAAGAGTCAAATAGACCACAACACAATAATCATGGGAGATTTTAGCACACCTCTCTCACCACTGGACAGATCTTCCAAACAAAATTTGAATAAAGAAACTACAGACTTCAATAATACAATTAATAACTTAGACTTAATTGACATATATAGAATATACCACCCAATATCAAGCGGATACATTTTTTTTCTGTGCAGCACATGGATCCTTCTCAAAAATAGACCATACATTATGTCAGAGGGAAACTCTTAGCAAATACAATGGATGCATTTTATCTGATCATAATGGAATGAAATTGGAAATCAATAAAAAAATAAGGAAGAAAAATTCCTACATCACATAGAGAATGTACAATATGTTACTGAATGAACAATGGGTTACAGATGACATCAAAGAGGAAATTAAAAAATTCTTAGAGGTAAATGAAAACTCAGACACAACATATCAAAATCTCTGGGACACTATGAAAGCAGTAGTAAGAGGAAAATTCATTTCATGGAGTTCATCCCTTAAAAGAAGAAAAAGCCAACAAATAAATGACCTCACACTGCATCTCAAAGCACTAGAAAAAGAAAAACAAATCAGCAGCAAATGCAGCAGAAGGCAAAAAATAATTAAAATCAGAGCTGAAATCAATAAAATTGAAACAAAAGAAACAATTGAAAAAAGAAATTACATTTTTTTTTTTTGGTGCTGGAGATTGAAACCAGGGTGCTCTGCCATTGAGCTATATGCAGAGTCCTTTTTATTTTTTAAGACAAGGTCTCAATAAGTTGCTGAGGCAGTCCTTGAAATTGCAATCTTCCTGCCTTCGCCTCCCAAGTCACTGAGATTACAGGCATGAACCACTGCACTTGGCTCATACTTGACTATTTAAATGGAAGATTGAAAACATCATTGGATCACTAATATTTTGTCAATATTAATTGGTATACTTGTTTAAGCCCATAGCTAAATCAAAGGCCAGCAGCAAACTAACATGGTAACCTAATATCATCTCTGTACCCTTTATTATACCCAAGTTCTCCCCCATAAACATTTATCCATATTTAATATGGAGTCCTTGTACCATTTCCATTTTCTGCCACTCTGTACTACCACCATCTTGACAATATAAATAGACAAGGCACTAATACTCCAGAACATCAGATAGGCTTTACTTATGCAAAGGACACAAAAGAACTTTAGGACATAGACAAATCAGCAACATTATCCAAGACCATGAGTGCACAAACAGGAGTACTAAATGGTAGTACTAAACCTCACCAGCAGACATGTGGTTGTAGATGTGAAAGTATAAATGAAAGAATGACTAGAAGCATGCTGTCTTTCTCTAGGCCTAATCATATACTAGAACTTTTTTGCCCATAATTTAGTATAGACTCTTGCTAGAGTTGACATCACCTGGTCCAGGAGTACCTCGAAAATCTCAAGAGTTCTACAATGCAAACTAGAATAGATATTACTTTAAGGCATGAACCAAATGCTCATCCACTATACCATACTATCTGGGCCAGAATAACCTGATCGATGTATGTTCCTGAATTTAATGCTATGGAAGCAGAATAAGGGTAATTTCCCCAAACTCTCTGAGATTCATATTAATAATCTCTTAGGCTCACTGAAGGGGGTCAATGAATAACTTTTATAATGAAAATAAAAATTACAAACTAAAGTTCTAAGTTCATGGGCATGTGGGTTTAGAAAGATCTACATATATTATCAGAACACCAACTTGGGAAACAAAACCTAAGAGGACACTCTGTTCCTTTAACCATGTGGTGACATGAAGGATATCCATAAATTGGAGTTTTAGTGCCATTATTTTTCATGTTATTTCAGAATAATAAAAAAATTCATGAAAATAACTATATATTAAGAATGGCCCATCATTTGAGTCAGTTATAGAAATCCAACTCAAAATAATTAAGGAAAAAGGAAAATTTACTGGATGATTAACCTATTAGTGTATTGTTGAAAACAAAATAGTGTGAAAAGTTATAAAACTAGGTCTTAGGACAACAACCTTTCACTGCTACTCTCTATTTGTATTTTATTCTTTTTTCCATGTGTCATGCTAAATAGCCTCAGAAACTTACATATTAAAACTTCAGCTACCAATGAAGACCTGCCTTGAATGTCTGCCTGTATCCCTAAAGACAATAATTGACCTCAACTGTGGTCAGTGAACCATTCCAGAACTAGGAAAAAGCAATCACAACAACAGGATGATTGTATGCATGGAAACCATACGAGAATGGGATGGAGAAGGAAAGGGAATGTGAAATAGGATGGAACAATTTTCTGAAGTTTAAGGAAATGTGACACTATAACCAAAGTATATGTAATTTACACATCTTCAGGATGTAAATAAGACTGTAACAGAACTGTTAACTCAGCACTACTGATATTTTGGACTGACCAATTCTTCATTGTGGGGTAATGTCCTGTGCATTTCAGGATGTTTAGCAGCATTCCTAGTTTTTACCCAGTAGTTACCTGCAACACCTCCCTGGTCGTGATAATATAAACATTTTCAGTTATTGACAAATGTCAGGAGTTGTTGCCAGTTAAGAACTATTGACCTATAGCTAAGGGTTGTACTCTACAAAGTTACCTGAAGAATAAGTAGAAAATTAGATATAGAAGGTTTAAATTTAGATAGATAGGGCTGGGGATATGGCTCAAGCGGTAGCGCGCTCGCCTGGCATACATGCAGCCCAGGTTTGATCCTCAGCACCACATACAAACAAAGTTGTTGTGTCCACCGAAAACTAAAAAAAAAAATAAAATAGTAAAATTCTCTCTCTCTCTCTCTTAAAAAAAAAAAAAATTAAGCCCCCTCTTTCCTCATTTAAAAAAAATTTAGATAGATATATAACATATTGGCCATATGTGTGAATTAAACATGGTGTCATAAAAATTTATACTTATAAAATGGATCAAAATGTTTTAAATTAATTTGTTATTGGTCTTGGGTTAAATAATTTCATGAACCCAAGATTTCTCATTTTAAAAATGGAGGAGATAACAGCTATGCAGAATGGTTCTGAATATTAAATAGTCATGTGAAAGCATTTTGGAAGCTATTAAGTTGAATACAAATAATAAATAATAATGACAATAATAATAAATACAAACATGATAGAGAACTAGCCCCATTTCTCTATCTAAGAACCTAGGACTTTTTCTCAGGATGCAGTATATGAAAAGAGGTGACTTTACAGAAACAAAATTATTCTAAAATGCAGAGCTCTTGAAAAACAAGCAATGTAAATGTGACAAAAAAAAAAAAAAAAGCCCAGAAGCTCTCAAATTTATTAGCATTTCCAGTGGTAAGTAGTTAACTTATTTTAGTTCATAAATTTATGAACTTTTGTTAAACATACTGAATAGATAGAAGTAAACAGTTTAAATGTATTTATTTTATCATATAAATTTGGAAGCAGTAATATTGCTCAATCACAACTAATTAAAATATTGGGTTTTTTTAGTCTTTGGTGACAAAAATTACAGCAAGTCTTCAATGAAATGTTAAACATGAAGTAGAAATAATAAATTTATCTCCTAACAGGTTGTACAGGTACTACTTAAGTCATTCCAAAAAGATACATCACAAAGATAAATGTTTGATGCCTTAATACCACATGGAGAATAACACTACCACCAATAACAACTATGATAGTAATAATTAAAACAAACAAGCAAATATTTATTAAATGGCTGTTCTGAATTTAGAAGGGTCCTGAGAACCTTATTAAATCTTGTATAATACTTGAGAAATTTATTAACCCATGTAAAACAATATTTAAAACAGAGATAGAGACATATTTAGAAAACATAAATTCCCTCCTTTAACAGGACACTGTAGTGAAATCTTAAGATTAATCAGGTTAATCAAATCTCTTCTTAGTTCCTATTATCACATATTTATCTGTTCATAGTATCTAAGAGCTTGTCTTAATACTTTCTGTACAATACATGTTTTGGGGTTGCTTTTTTGTTGTTGTTTTTCAAATTTAAATTTGTTGAATAGCATAAAAAATATAGCAATAGTGGCTTGTATATTTTCTTTCTTTTTAAATCTCAGGGTTTTAAATTTTCTTTTTTGCTTTTTAAAATGTTATAGTTTTGGCTTATGTTAATTATAATTCATCTCCCTCTTCCTCCTCTTCTTCCTTTTCTTCTTCCTCTTCTTTTTCATCTTCATATTTCATTTTATCTTCTTCTTTCTCTGCCTTTCTTCCCCCTTTTCCTCTCTCTATTATAGATAATTCAGGAGTAAATACCATCTGTTGTTCCAATAAAATATTTGGAAAATAAGGCTGCACTATCAAAACAATTATGACACACATAATAAAAAACAGCAGTCTCAGTAATAAAACAGATATGCAGAGTGGATCACATATAATTGGCCGGGGCACTTCCCAACTTGGATACCAGAATTGGTAATCTGTAAATAGAGAAGCAATTGAAAGCTGTGTTTCAAGTAAAATAGCTGAATTGTTCAAAGAAGTAAAGAACAAAAATACATACATATAGCTCGGTCCCGATCTGCATTACCTAGAAAGAAAAAGAAAGTCTATAAAGAATTACATAAAATTTTTCTTTCTCTATAATGTAAGAATTTCTTCAATAATAGTGCTACCATTCTCTTAGTTTTCAGGCAACATGTCATCATTCTTGTTGTTCCCTTTCCAACCAATAGCCAATCATAAATCACCAATATTCTCATTTACTAAAAGTCACCCTGTTCTGGTAGAGAGTATAGAAATACAGGAGTGACGAGAAATGAATTCTAGTGTTAACTCTAAATCATTGTTTCACCTTATATAGGTTCCTTCTATGAATTTACTCATTTTTATCACTTAGTTCTTATTTTCAGACACTTTCAGTTGTTCTTCATTTCTGAGAAGGCAAAGTCAACACCACTCTACATACTGGCCTTCTTCTTTTTCCTCTCTCTCTCCTGCTTTCTCCCTTTCTTTTGAACCTATCTACCTCACTAGATCATAATGTTATCAGGAAATAAATTCTTTTTGTCTGCTCACCTCAGCAGAGAGAGTCAAACAATTATTCCTGAATTCCACTAGGAAAAAATGGAAAGATAAATGAGTTCATACATACAAAAAACCCAATGTCAACTGGACATGGTGGTACATGTCTGTAATACAGTGACTTGGGGGGCTGAGGCAGGAGAATTGCAAGTTTCAAGTCAGCCTCAGCAATTTAGCAAGACCCAATCAAAAAACAAAAGTTCAAAATCAATGATATCAACCAGAGCTTCATCTCTACCCCTTGGGGAAAATTTAGAATTTATTTTTTAAGTACCTTAGAGATAAACTGACTTTATGTAGGATCTTTGAAATATTTTAGCATATTGTACTTGATCTTACTTCATATTTTATTTAATGGTTTTTACATTGATTTCTTTCTAAAAAGCGTTTTTCACCATATGATCTGTATTTTTTCTTTATTCTGTGTATTAATATTTATTGATACTTTAGTATGACAATAAAGTAATAGTACATTTCCTCTTTGCATCTTATTTCATTTCTCATCATTAATATCTGAATCATAATGTGAATTAAAATTACACATACTCATAAGCTTCACTGTAATATATTCATACCTGTACAGAGTATAAATTTGTCTAATTCATTCTTTTATACTTCCCCTTATCCTCTTCTCTGTCCTCCCCCTAGTCCCCATCCTCTCCATTACTGTTACACCTTTTATTAAATTATTTATTTATTCTAATTTGTTATACATGATGGCAGAATGCAATTCATTTCATATTACACATATACAGCACAATTTTTCAAGTCACTGGTTGTACACAAAGTATTTTCACACCATTCGTATCTTCATACTCATTCCACCGTCATTCTACTCCCTTGCCCCCTCCTTTCTCTTCCCTCCCCTTTGCCCTATCTAAAGTTCCTCCATTCCTCCCATGCTCCCCGCCCCCCATCACCATTATGAGTCAGCATTCTCATAGCAAAGAAAATATTTAGCCTTTGGTTTTGGGGATTGGCTTACTTCACTTAGCATTATATTCTCCAACTCCATCCATTTACCTGCAAATGCCTATGATTTTATTATCTTTTAATGCTGAATAATATTCCATTGTGAATATATAACAAAGTTTCCGGGTCCATTCATATACTGAAGGGCATCTAGGTTGGTTCCACAATTTAGCTATTGTAATTTGTGCTGTTATAAACATTGATGTAGCTGTGACCCTGTAATATGCTGTTTTTAAATCCTTTGGGTATAAACCAAGGAGTGGGATAGCTGGGTCAAAAGGTGGTTCCATTCCCAGCTTTCCAAAGAATCTCCATACTGCTTTCCAGTTTGGCTGCACAAATTTGCAGTCCCATCAGCAAGGTATGAGTGTGCCTTTCCACCCACATCATCGCCAAAACTTATTGTTGTTTGTATTCTTGATTGCTGCCATTCTGACTGGAATGAGATGAAATCTTAGTTTTGATTTGCATTTCTCTAATTGTTAGAGATGTTAAACATTTTTTTCATGTTTGTTGACTGATTGTATATACTCTTCTGAGAAGTGTCTGTGCAGTTCCTTGGCCCATTTATTGATTGGGTTATTTGGGTTTTTTTTGGTGTTAAAGTTTTTGAATGCTTTATATATCCTAGAGATTTGTGCTCTATCTGATGTGCTTGTGGTAAAGAGTTGTTCCCATTCTGTAGGCTCTCTATTCACCTCACAGATTGTTTCTTTTGCTGAGAAAAAGCTTCTTAGTTTGAATCCATCCCATTTATTGATTCTTTGTTTTAATTCTTGTGCTATAGGAGTCTTATTAAGGAAGTTGGGGCCTAATATGACAGGATGGAGATTTGAGCCTACTTTTTCTTCCATTAGGTGCAAGGTCTCTGGTTTAATTCCTAGGTCCTTGATACACTTTGAGTTGATTTTTGTGCATGGTGAGAGATAGAGGTTTAATTTCATTTTATTAGATGTGGATTTCCAGTTTCCCAGCACCATTTGTTGAAGAGGCTATCTTTTCTCCAATGTACATTTTTGGCACTTTTGTCTAATATAAGATAATTGTAGTTATGTGGGTTAGTCTCTGTGTCCTCTATTCTGTACCATTGGTTTCCCCTACCCTCTCCTCTATTTTGGTGTCAATACCATCTGTTTTTGTTACTATTGCTCTGTAGTATAGTTTAAGGTCTGCAATAGTAATGCTACCACCTTCACTCTTCTTGCTAAAGATTGTTTTGGCTATTCTGGATGTCTTATTTTCCCACATGAATTTCATAACTGCTTTTTCTATTTCTGTGAGGAATGTCATTGGGATTTTGATTGGGATTGCATTGAATCTGTATAGTGCTTTTGGTGGTATGGTTACTTTGACAAAATTAATTCTGCCTATCTAAGAACAAGGTAGATCTTTACATCTTGTAAGGTCTTCTTAAATTTCTTTCTTTAGCATGCTGTAGTTTTCATTGTAGAGGTCTTTTACCTCTTTTGTTAAGTTTATTCCAAAGTATTTTATTTTTTTTGAAGCTATTATAAATGGGGTGGTTTTCCTAGTTTCTCTTTCTAAGAATTTTTTAATCTCCTCCTTGATGTCTTTTGCAACCCATTGTTCATTCAATAGCATATTATTAGTCTCCAGGTGTAGGAGTAATTTTTATTTTTATTTTGTCATTGATTTCTAATTTTATTCCATTATGATCTGATAAAATGCAGGGTAGTATCTCTACTTCTTTGTATTTGCTAATAGTAGCTTTGTGGCCTAATAGATGGTCTATTTTGGAAAAGGATCCATGTGCTGTTGAGAAGAAAGTGTATTCGCTCATTGATGGATAATATACTCTCTATATGTCAGTTAAGTCTAATTTATTAATTATAGTATTGAGTTCTCTAGTTTCTTTGCTTAGCTTTTGTTTGGAAGATCTATCCCGTGGTGAAAGAGGTGTGTTAAATTCACCCAGAATTATTGTGTTGTGGTCTACTTGACTCTTGAATTTGAGAAGAGTTTGACTGATGAAAGTAGATGCTTCATTGTTTGGGGCACATAAATTTATAATTGTTATGTCTTGTTGATGTATAATTCCTTTAAGCAGCATAAAATGTCCATCTTTATCCATTTTGATTAACTCTGGCCTGAAGTCTACTTTATTTGATATGAGGATGGAAACCCCCACTTGTTTACGTAGCCCATGTGAATGGTATATTTTATCCCAACCTTTCACCTTCAGTCTGTGGGCATCTTTTCCAAATGAAATGAGTCTCTTGAAGGCAGCAGTCTTTTTTAAAAATCCAATCTACCAGCCTAAATTTTTCGATTGGTGAGTTTAGGCCATTAACATTCAGGGTTATTGTTGATACATGATCTATATTACTGGTCATTTTTGTTTATTTTGGTATTTAGCTTGACTTAGTTTCTCCTTTGGTTGTCTTTTCCTTTATTGTAGTTCTTCCCTTTGCAGATTTTCATTGTTGTTTTTCATTTCATTCTTATGGAATATTTTGCCAAGAATATTCTGTAGTGTAGGCTTTCTTGCTGTAAATTCTTTTAGCTTTTGTTTATTATGGAAGGTCTTTAGTTCATCATCAAATTTGAACCTTAAATTTTCTGGATATAAAACTGTTGGTAGGCATCCATTATCATTTAGAGATTGGTATATGTTGTTCCAGGATCTCCTTGCTTTGAGAGTCTGGGTTGAAAAAATCTGAGATCTGAATTAGTCTTCCCTTATAGGTAATCTGATGTTTCTCTCTTGCAGCTTTTAAAATTCTATCCTTATTCTGTATGCTAGGCATTTTCATTATAAATATGTCTTGGTGTTGATCTGTTGTAATTTTGTACAATTGGTGTCCTATAGGCCTCATGTATTTGATTTTCAAATTCATTTTTTATGCTTGGGAAATTTTCTGATATTATTTCATTGAAGAGATTGTGCATTCATTTGGCTTGAATCTCTGAACCTTCATCTATCCCAATAAATCTTAAATTTGGATTTTTGATGGTATCCCATAATTCTTGTATATTCTGTTCATGGTATCTTCAAGATTGTATATTTTGTCTTCATTGTCTAAGGTCCTGTCTTCCAAGTGATCTAATCTGTTGGTGATTCTATCTATTGAGTTTTTAATTGGCTTATTGTTTCTTTCATTGCAAGGATTTCTGTTTTTTTTTCCAGTATCTCTCTTTCTTTAAGTAATATCTTGCAACCTGTATTTGCTCTCTTATCTCTTTGTTGGTGTGATTGATGGTCGCCTGTATTTGTTCTCTTATCTCTTGTTGGAGTGATGGATTTTTGCCTATATCTGCTCACTTAGGTCATTATTTAATTCCCAAATCATTTTAGTTATGTACATTCTGAACTCCTTCTCTGACATTTCACCTACTGTGCTACCTACAGCTTCTATTGTTATAGTATCTTGGTTTGTTTCGGGCACATTCCTCCCTTGTTTTTTCATGATGTCTATGTGTCTTCCTCTCTTGCAGTATAGATCGGAGGTATTCCAGCTTCTACCTATTGTCTTATAGTGTCCCTACAGGTTACTAATACCTCACTTTTAAGGGAGAGATCAATATTACAGCACTCAATAAATATACCCAATGTGCAGCCATACATCAGTTAGCTTCTATTTTTACATTTACATTTTTTTGCATCAAATGAGATGATCATATGTTTTCTGTTTTTCCTTCTATTTTTGTGGTGAACAACATTTCTTATTTTTCATGTTGAACTATTCTTGCATTCATGGGATGAAATCAATTGATAATGATGTACATTTTTCTTAATGTGTTTTAAAATATGAACTGCTAACATTTTACTGAGGAATTTTGCAATGAAAAAACATCTATGTTCTTCAGAGATACTGATTGGTAGTTTTCTTTCCTTAAGGTATCCTTATCTGCTTTTGGTATCATGGTGAGACTAGTTTCATTGAATGAATTTGGTAGTCTTTTCCTCTTTTCTATTTTATAGAATTTTTTTTTTTAAAGAGAGAGAGAGAGAACTTTTTTTTTTAATATTTATTTTTTAGTTTTCGGCAGACACAACATCTTTGTTTGTATGTGGTGCTGAGGATAGAACCCGGGCCGCATGCATGCCAGGCGAGCGCGCTATCACTTGAGCCACATCCCCAGCCCCATTATAGAATAAGTTGAGGAGAATTGACATTAGTTCTCCTTTAGTGGTCTAGTAAAATCTAACTGAGAATTCTTTAGGTTTTCTTTGTTAGAAGGCTTTTTATTACTGCTTTAATTTCATTGCATTTTATTGGTGATGAAGAGGAAGAGCAAGATTTTCCATCTTGATTCAAGTAAAGCAAAGGCAGAAATATTTGAGTGTGCTTGTCCCAATAGTGACAGTGTTGTTACATTAAAACTGCCCTCTAGTTTCTCTTTGTTTTTGCTTTTTTTTTTTTTTGCACAAAAGCATAATATGCTCTGAATTTATCCCCTACCACTTTATTTTAAGCCTTGTATAATCTAACTATAAATATACCATCAGAATATATGCTTTTATGTTTGAAAAAAACAATAAAAGTATAATCAAATACATTTTCTACTTTTTATTCTCTGAACATTTTTGGAATTCTAGGTTTTTTGGGGGGGGTGGGACAATGAGAAAAATCTATTAAATATTTATTACTTTACTTTTTTTATCTTGACAAATATTTTGGGATATTCTTTTGTTTAACATAGTCATTGTCAAACTGTGAAGCATTTTCAAGGTTTAGCTTTTATTTATCAGTCCTTATTCCTAACATTCTGGTATGTTCTTAGGGGAAGAAATAGAAGCAAAGCTCTGAAGAAAAGGCTCTATAGTTTAGAAAAATCTAAAGATACTGTTTCAATCCTCCTTTGATAATATGATAATAGCATTAGAATAGTAAGAATAATATTAACTTCACAAAAAAACTAGTGTGCAATCACTTCACTTTACTTGTCCTAAGCATTATGGATGTTTTTCTTTTCATTTTTAAGTTATTTTCTTTATCTTACTGCATAGAAAATCTGTGCATTTGTCACGGTTGCCACAACGACTACAAAATACTCCTGGTTCATAAGGCCTTCTTGATAGAGCTCCTCTACAAAAAAGCAGAAAATTGTTAGGAAAAGACTCAATTTTTACATGTTATTTAAATACTATAGTTACCAATTTTAATTAGTCTTAAGCAGTTATTTGATTAAGAAAGTCGACTTAAAGAAGTACTTAGATTAGAGATGCAATCTTCCCATTTTCCAACCCCACACACAGTCTCTTTTGAAATGAAATCCCATTTGCCTGCAACAGAGTATCCTAATTTAAATATAAGAGTTCAAAAATAAGGATGTTAAAGTTTCTTTTATTTTTGTAGCAAAATACATCCTTTCCAAATGGATGCTATAGAATATTTTACGATTAATTACTTTTTGGTTAGTAAAAATGTATATAAAATTCTATAGAAATGATATGTTGATTACATGAAGAGTTTTTTAAAATCCTGAAATGCCTGTTGTCCCAAAGATCCAGCTGCATGTATTACTTTGGAATCCATGTGAAAAATACATAGACATAAAATAAATAAGCAAATGAATTTAAGTGGTATTTTACAAAGTTGAATTAATCCATTGTTTGAGCTAAAGAGCCAAGTAAGAATGGTTACATCAATTACCTAGAATTAAAGAAGGAAAAGGGAAGTGTACATAAAATCCTAGGATACAAAAGAAAAACTATATAGGTGAAAGATAACTCTGAGTGGCAGGGATGGGTCACTAGTACCATTTAAACAAGATCTTGCCATTTAAACAAGATTGCATATATACCTAGAAGGCAATTGGAAGTTATAAAAATAAACATTAGGCATATAGGTTCCTGGTTAGGCACTATAGGTCATCTAGAAGGATAGCCAAACATAACAAACACATATTTAGAAATCTGAATATCAAATCTCAGAACCATATCTTATTTAATCAAGATGGTTTTGCTTATACCCAGTAAGATATCTGATACCTAAAAATTGCAACTGTTCCATCAAGGACATCCAGAGGTTTGTGATTACTTGCAGACCTTATATCACTTCTATAATTTCACTGTTCTATTCAAGGAGAATATATATTTTATTTAGAACCTACCTAGAGCACCAGTCTTCCAGAAACTGAAGAATTAATCTAGTCAACTTCACTACACCTTATTCTAGTTTTATTGCTCTAATTCTTTCTCACTGAAGCAGATGCCTCCAACATAACAGCAAAGCTCATCCTCCCCAAGACCTCTGGGATGGGGGACCTCTGCCTTTGTACCTATGAAAAATTCTAGTCAGTATATACACACTACTCAATAATACTAGTCCTCTTTCTTATTTTTTACTTTTTGGGGGGAGGTACCAGGGATTGACTCAGGGGCACTCAACCACTGAGACACCTCCCCAGCCCTATTTCATATTTTATTTAGAGACAGGGTCTCACCAAGTTGATTATTGCCTCACTTTTGTGGCTTTGAACTCGCAATCCTCCTGCCTCAGCCTCCCAAGCCACTGGGCTAGACCTCTTTTTTAAAGTTCAATTTTCATAATCATTATTTAAGTATATGTCAGGCTAATATTCTTCTATGTCAATCTCCCTCTAGTTCTGACATTCAAAAAAGTTTCACCTAAATCAATTCAAGTCTGAATATACTATACAACTCTCATCTACAATTGGAATGGCTGGACTGGATTAGGAGGAAACTATAGATAGATCTAAGTATCTGAATCTAGCAAAGTCCATTGAAGTTTCATAGTTGCCTTAACAGTGCTGTAAGAAATATAAAATATTTTGTCTTTGGGCATTTGCCATTTTTAAAGAAGCAGCCAATGGGTCATAGAAAGCAAGTCCAGATGCTGAACATAGCCCACTGGAACTTTTACTAGCCTTCTAGCTTCAGTACTTTGCTGCCTATAGGAACATGGGCTTAGGTGGCCTAACAAATGACTAATCCTATTTCTGACCCCAAGTCCATTGGAAGACCACTGTTTAAAACGTTTTAATAGATACATAGTCTTCTGGAAAGATGCAGTCTAGGGGTGGTGGAAACTTTCTTTGCCTTTACTAGAACCATATCTGCTACTACCTTGTTCATCAAGCAGGTAATCCAGGTCTCTATTCAAAGTAAAGAAAGTATGAATTTTGTTGTTTTCTGCTTCAAATTATCCATGCATATGTAAAGCTATTTTACTTTACACACATTTCTGTTAAACTCCCTCATTCATCTTAGCAAAATATGCTACTGCAGTCCATTTACTGAATGGCATTAAAAGCTGCTAGTTTTGAGTGGCTTAGAACAAGAAAAGATCTATAACAGGTCTGGGCTGCCATGCAAGTTGCTCTGCTACTTGGTCTACATATTCCAGCAGGCCTAATAGATACTTGTGGGCTCAAACCCATTGCTAGTACCCAAATATGCATTAGGATCCTCCAGAGAAACATAATTAATAGATTACACACATGAGAGAGAGAGGGGTGCGGGGGAGAGAATTTTAAGGATTTGGCTTCCACAATTGTAGGGGCTGACAAGTCCAAAATCAGAAGGGCAGGCCAGTGGCAGGAGACAAGTACTGATGTTGTAGTCTTGAGTCTGAAGGGGAACATCTGGAGGCAATTTTCATTCTCAGATTTTTCTTTCATAAGCCAATATGAAAAAGTTTATATTGAACTTTAAATAAACTCAGAGTTTAAATTGAACATACGAGGGTCACCCATATTATAAATGATAATCTGGTTTATTTAAAGTCTACTGATTTAAATATTAATCACATCTAAAGTATACCTTTACAGCTATATCTAGACTAGTTTGGACAAACACTGGGCATCATATCCTAATTTAGTTGATATATAAAATTAATGATCTCATCAGCTTTTTTAAAAAAATGGCGAATTTTACTTTGGCAGTTGAATTACTGGCAATTAACCTTAATTCAGTTGAGGCCTGGTTTTAGGACTAGATAGTTCTACATCAGTGTTTACCTTATTCCTACCATGGTCCTTACTTTTAGGCAATGGTTCTTAATCCTAGGGCATGGTTTTTCTGAAATAAATGTTCAGAGTTTTAGCCAAGATCTCTCCATTTTACCTGGTCTCAATCGCAACTCTGTTTCTCAGCACTGTTCAGCCTCTGCAATCTGTGTGGGTATTCAGCCTCTGAATATCTGTTCCCTAATAATCCTTCCAGAATATTACCTTGGGATGTGTAGGTTAGTATTTGGCCCACAGAGAAATTTTACAGAGACTTCAAGGTTTCTTCTTTGTAGCCCTTTTCTTTTTGGTATCCTGAGTCTAAATATCCAGGCATCAAAGACACTGGTGTTTCTTTTACTCAGAAAAATATATATTTTTTGCTTGAAATATATCTCTTTGGTTAAAGGTAAGGTAAATTCTTAGGGAGAAAAAACAGAGCAAATATGGGGTTCCCACTGAGTTATTATCTATTTGTAAATATTCTAGTCCTATATTGGTTGTTTTCTAATGCCTGAAAACAGTTGTTTTATGTTTTCTCCAGTCTTTATGGGTTATTTTAAGCAGAATACTGATTTTTATGCCAGCTTAAAAAATATTCAGAAAAAAATGGGTCACATATTTAAAAGATAAAAATTAATTTCTAGAAGAAAATCTAATGTGATTAAAAAGAGTAAAAATATTTTGTGAAAGTACATCTAAGAATGACAAATCTCAAAACCCAAGAAAAGTATTGACATATTTTTATCTACAGTAAAATTATTCTATTTGACAAAATAAATTGCATCATAAAGTCAAATGTTAAGCATTATACTGGTAAAATATTCATAAATTTACTACAAAAGAGGTAATTTTATTGACCTATAAAACACTCCTATAATTTAAAAGTATTGGAAACCTTCACATAAAAGTATTGATTGTACAGGAACAGTCAGGTCTTGGTAAATGAAATCCATTTTTTTTGAAATGCACAAAATAATAACTGAACTCCCCTGAAATAAAGATTGTGAGAGGACAGGTCCTCAGAGGGCCTAGCCAACTCAACTTTCTTTCCCACTTTTGGTTCTCAGAATAACTGCAGAATGTGCAAACAAGGTAGTGTTCCCAGATAAAGAGGAACCATTTGAAACAGCCCAAGCTAGAATAGGTTATTTTGCAATGCTTGAGTTCAGTGAGTCAAGATGTGTCCTTAGTATAAACCGGACAGAGTGTTCAGCTGTGGTGTGACATGAGGCATTCACAGATAAGATACCATCCTCCCTAAGTGACTTTCCTGAGTCTTGGGAGACCACCTTACTTGGATCCTAGACTTCTGTTTTTACCTCCTGCCTATCTGTAAGTAATACCTTTTCTTTGCTTGACTTCTTGTGTGACAGTTCGGTCTCACTGGATTCATACAAGTGGTAGAGAACCTTCATAGAGATGATAATTAGAAATATAATGAGCCAGGCATGGTGGAGCATGTCTGGAATCCCAGTGACTTGGGAGGCTAAGGCAAAAGGATCTCAAGTTTGAGATTAAAAAAAGGGCTGGGGATTATAGTTCAGTGGTAAAGTACCCTTGGGTTCAATCTTCAGGAACCTACCCCTCAAAAGTATACTGACTTCCTAATTGTACATAGCTGAATGTGTGAGAATGCATTATCTTAACAAGGGAGTTGAGAAATAAGTCCTTTCTTACATGAAATATAAGAAGTATTATAATACAAAAATGGTGTAACAATAATGAATAGCTATTTAGTAATATTTATCAAAATTGAAAATTTTGTTTTTGACCTAGCAATTCCGTGACTGTGAATTACAAATACTTTGCTGAGAATTACATATCTATCTGGATAATTGCAGAAACATCTTTTGTAATAAAAATAATAAAACAGCCTAATTGGTCCTTAAAAGGAAAATATTGCTTAAATACATTTTTGTACATACATTAAAAAAACACTATGCAAATATTAAAAAGAATTCAGAAACATTTTGCACTCAAATGACAAAACTTCCAAAGGATATCTTCAAAAAATTAAGTAACCTCAGAGTAAGTGTAGTGTATTCCTGTTTGAATTACTGAAAAGCACACACAGAGACAGATATGATTTGGCATATACAGACAGAATATACCT